GGCACTGAGGACAGAGGAATTCTTACCGTTCAACTTAGTGAAGTGACTACGATCTGTAACATAGTCACGTAACAGATTACACCCACCAAGGTGAGCTTGATTTTTAGATAGCAATTTCAGAAACCTTGACTGATCCAAGCTTCCAAAGGCATTCGAATAATCTGGAAAGAGAAGTCGTACGGATTTGCATTTTTGATCTAATGCAGAGGCTATAGAATGAACGACATATACCCCTTAATCCAATGTGGAGCGCTGGGGTCTATACGCGAACTGGTAGATATCGTCCTCTGTTTGGCCGGTACTTTCCCGCCAATCCACACGCGTTGCACTTAATAGTGCAGCACATGTAGCAACCCGCGTTCACCGTGTTTCAGTACTTCTGACGGTATCCCGTCGGCGCCGGCACATTTTATGTTTTGCAACTAACTGTCCACTCGCGTTGGAAAATGACACTGTGTTTTCAACGTGCAATCTCAACGGACCGTAGACTATGATATATCATACAATTCTACTTTGTGTGCTGCTTTCATCATCTGTAAAAGGTTGGAAGGATGCTTAACGTTTTTGCGAAAAATGTGCAAAACGTTTCAGGAGTTGGCGACAGTGCGCAGTCCATCTGACCATCGTAGGGCTCGAACTCGCCATTCGACTGTTGCAAGTCCGTGGTTAAGACCGCTGAGTTTGGGTGACGGTAATGACCATCATGACTATGATATTAGATGTGATGTATAGCTGCTTTCACGGCAGTAACGAGCAAAATAATGGATAGTGAGTTGCGCAATATAACATCTGGTAATTTGGTCACGACGGTCATTACCGTACCCCGAACTCAGTGGTGTCAAGCACAGAGTGGCAACAGTCGAGCTACGGGTCCGAGCCCTACACGTGTCAGCTGGGATGCACATCGTTAACGATACCGAAATCTTGAAACGATCGTACGGTGTTTTTCCGGCAGTGTGATTTCTACCTGACTGTCTATATTTGATGGATTTCTACCTATACTATTCAACTCCTCTTACTAGTTTTCTATAAGCAGAACGCAGACACAACTGCTTATAACACCGGAGTTGATTGGCGGCTTACGTTTGATAGTTCGTCGCTTGGTGAGGGGGCAACCTGTCCTCTGTACATCGGTAACGTGCTAGTCAGTGGATAGTGAGCGGCGCTATATCACATCTAGTAAGTCACGGCGGTCGTTACCGTTCGCGTAACTCAGTGGTCGCAACCACGGATTGGCAACCTTAGACTTGCTGATTCGAATTTTACAATGGTCAGGAGGAATGCGCACTGTTGATCATTCTGGAGAAGATGGGACCGTGGTACTGTGCTTTTCAGATCGCGTGATGGCTGTCTGACTGAGCCAAGTTGTGTTGAATTCCTACCTATACCATTCGATTCCGCTTACTACCCTTCTGTGAAGCTTTTTTATCTTTTGAGTAGCGTAGTCAAAGTGTAGCTTTTCAGGATCTCTAAGTCCCCGAATTTCTGCATTGATTTTGCAAGTCTAGGTTAAACCTTGTAGTTGCAATAGTGCCTAATATATCTGTAGTAATGTGGCGAAAATGCTGGTGCTTATATATAATGCTTTAAGTTCGTTAGTTTCGTTGAAGCCAGGTTGAGAGGTTCCTGCTGACCACTATGTTTGTAGATATTACTCCATACGACGGCTGTCAGTACATACATATATAGGACAATATTATTGTCTAATTCAGTCGTAGTTACAGAAGAGTTATCAGTTATCAGAAGCACAAGCAACTATTACCTTGAAATCCACATCTTCCGTCTACTGAAACCAGTAAGATGCAGGGATAGATAACATCGAAACGGAAAAGTCAGCGGCTTCATCCAGACAAGATGATCACTACGGTTCCAGTTCTCATCATCCTCCTGATGGGTTCAAAAAAGTAGTAGCGATGTGCCACCATCTATTAGCGCTAACCAAGCAGAAAAATGCACTGAAGATTGGGGCACCTGCAAAATACACGTCCAACTGCGTGTCACTTCCATCAAATATAAAATGAGTGACCCAATGTAAAACAGAACAACGACTGTGCAGCGACGAAAATATTGCTGAACAATGATTTATTATATGTTACATATTACTGGTTTCTGCGTCGTGTCTCACTGGCTTCTGCGCTAGCCATGCGTCTTCACTCCTTGGTTTCCGTTCCTCGATTATGTGTCGTTCATCCAATCGCAACCCGTTTTGACGGAGAGGTTGATTGGCTCTGCGGACCGTCTCTCGGTGTACGTGCATCACTGGTTTATGCCCTTCGGTAGGTAATGTGCGGTCGGTGGCCTTGATACTGGCGCTCGCATACTGACTCCGGACGATGCTGATTGGCTTGGTGTCTGACATGTTACTTCGCCCGCCCAAACAACGGTCTTCTATCCGTGGACGAACCATGCTTCTGATTGGTTGTCTAGTGTAGTAACTGCCACACGAAGTGCTGTATCCTCCGTTTGCTTCTTAGTTTCACAGAGGGACAGTGCTGGTGACTGGCAGCTAAGCGTATCGACTTCCATCACAGTCTGCATCTCTAATTGGCTGCATAGTGTCTCGGCCTCCGTCACAAGAAACTGTGCCTATGCAGTTGCTCGGCAGCTATGCTTATCAAGTTCTGTCCTACAAGCACGAACTTATTTGAAATCTAACCCTGACCATAGCAACGAACCTTTGAGTTTGCCAACAAATCTCAGTGCGTCAGACGTGCAGCACCTTAAATAAACCTCAATCTGACCGTTTTAGGCAGATGCAACTGGAAGTAAACTCTCAGAATACTACTGTTAGCGTTCGATTTTCGGAAACTTTGAGGAAACTACTGCACGATATTATATGTACCCGTCTAGATCGGCTGATATAAAGTGCTTAATTTTAAGCTTACGCCTACAACACTGAAAATGAAATTGGGTTTGGAAGCAGAACGTCGATGTAATATTTACCCACAGCACCCCGAAATATGACTCCAGCAGTCACTGTATAATCAGAGAGAAAGTACTTTATCGGACTTTAGTAGCCCCCCACCTCTGTGCATTATTAACGCACATCCTTTTTGGACTATCGTATTCTCCCGCATCCTCCTTTACCAATGCAGCCACTATCACGTGCTATGGATGGGTCAGAGAATGATCCAGTTGCTGGTGTACCTATTTCATTTTTTCTAGTACAATGCAGAGCTCAGTGTGACTTAACTACCTCACAACACAGGTTTTAGATAGTGACCAAGAATCCAAGTTTGCCCACCACAGTTATTTCAATCTAGCTCTCTGTCTCAACGCTGACCTCTTTAACATTGGGTCTCTTTTACTTAAATAGGATCTACTTTCCACGCTCGTGTTTATGAAATTCCCTGGTATTGATTTTATTACTAAAACATGGTGCACATCAAAAATTATTGGTTCTCAGATACACCACTTAGGCTGTCGTCTTTTCCGCAAAATTGTTCACGTAAAAATGATGATGGCTGTGCCATGGATCTTCGTAATGGCCAGATTACCATTCTTACTGATCAAAATGCGCACAGTGACATGGGAGATACCGTATGGCTGTTGATCTTGTCGGATGTATTTATCGGACTTCGCGAACCACTCAATGTGCCACCCAAAAGCTAATTGATGTGAACAGTGTAGCACCAGCATCACCCACAAGTCCAAACTTATGTGCGGAATGTTGTATCCCAGTAAGTTCAGTAGGTCTATCTGCAACCAGACTACAGCAGCGGTACCCCGAAACAGAACGAACTGTGACAAGAATGATCTTGGGAAGGTGTATTGTGTCTTATGTCTCGTCGGTTTACGGCGGTTATCCATAATCGTTCATCTAATCAACTGCGAGCTGGGCGTGCGTACGCACTTGAGAACGTAGAACTGTCAGTTAGCGCACCTTCTCCTCAATTAAATTAGCGCATCAATCTGAACTACGAGTAGAGTGGGTCACATCGCCTGCATTCTCGTTTTTAGACGTTGGAACCGCGTTCGGGTATAGGGTCGCGTACAGTTGTCTGGCATTTGCAAGCTGGTACTTTCCCGGATCCAACGTCCTGGTAATACTGACGGTATGCAGTAGTTCTGGCTGCCATTTGTCTTTCTTCCTTTCTCTCAGTCGAACAAAAGTTCTGGGGCAGGGTGATAAGGCCAAGTTCTACAAATTGACTGATAACGTAGGCGACACTCAAGCTGGAGGGGATCGTTGTGTTCCCGGAGTAATATAGCTGTGCGTAATTGGCTTTGCAACGCCCTGTAAAACATTAGCTCCTCCGGTGTGCGTTCGGTTGCCTGGGATGCGATGTTCTGTGTGTATTAAAAGTCTGAACTACCAAAGCATCTTATTGCATGCCGAACAAATTTGACGCCTATACACTTTCCTTCAGTGAGCGACTTACGCGCTCTGTCGGGACGTTGGTAGCTGGGTTGTGCGGAACAGTTTGTACGTGTTCCATATCACGGAATCGTAGGAACTGCTTGAAATCGTAGTTTATAATTCGTGGCTCTTTATCAGTCACAAGTTATTCGGGGAGCCCAAATCAAGCAAACACATGATTCAACCACTATATAAGTTGGTGCTTACAGCGTCAAAGGTTAATTCCAACCCACTTGTTGTAGAAACACGTGGCCACCATACAGTTCCCTGGTGTTGTGGTGCACAACAGAACAGTCCCATGATGTCGATCACCAATTTTGACAAGGTTTCCGTTACCGTTAAGTCGGCGATTGATTCAAGCAACACGCATGGCTCTCGGAGCAATTCAAAATTCAAGGCCAAAGTGCGCTATGGTGCTATTTTTACAAAGCGTTCGGACAACAAATTATACACTGACCTTCACAATGCCCACCACAAAAGGTACAATAGTTCGGTTCTCAACACCGGCTGTCCAAACAAGACCAAATGCCGACAACCATTAACTGAAGTCTAACAGGTTACACAACCGACTAAGCAATTCACTCAGATGAGATTTAAAGCAAAACGATCAATAGTCCGATCAATTAAGCCGTAAAAATGTCAGCTGCTGGGAGTCAGGGACAGTGAAACAAGGGGGTTAGGGATGGGACTTATGAAATGCTTCGCTAGAATCCGACAGACTGTGATTTGTCCGTTGCACTCCCCCACCGAATGCATTCCAGGGATTGCTCAATCCTTCACTGTTCTTCTTACGCTAAAATTTCTAACTTAGAAGCGGCGCCAAACAGAACAGAACAACTCTTGGAAAGACGAGTGACATCCGCAATATCATCAAAGGCGTCAGGGGTAAAAGCTGAATGTTCGACGGACCGACTGGAGAAAGAAAACAGCAAAGAGATTGAGGCAACAACCAGGCAAGAGATTGTAAAGGTAAGGACTCCAACCGACGCCCGTCCTCATTACCATTGAAGCCCAAAGGTAAAGAGCAATCCACAACAGAAGAAACTAAACAGGAAATGTGCATTGCTAAAAGAGAATCACATTACATGAAAGCAATTGAGGCGTCAAAACGTTCTGTACTCCTTCTTTTTCAAACGCAATTCGCATACACACTACCGAACATTACTCAACTCCGCACTCACTTTGCTCATACGTTCAGTCGCCGCAGTCAACGGATCTGACTTCTCCACATTCATCTCCTCACTCGACGCCACAGCCTCACACCACAGCCTCCCCGAAGCGCACACAACTCCGCGCTCAACGCGGCTTCCGATACACACACTGGTGCACAATCCACACGTAGCTCCTCCCGTAAATCACACACCAGCGACTCAATCTCAAGTAAACCCGACATAGCAGATCCACATTTCTCCAGCACATCATGGCTTCCCACCATCGGCGAAGGCAATGGCAACAGATTATCAGCAGCAGCCAATTCGTCCACAAACCAGAGGGACTCCCTCATGCAAAACATTCACAGCGAAGCCAACGCGAGTACTAGCATCATCTGCAACGCCCAATGCAGACGCTTTCATCCCAATACCCATTGCCGATTCATCCTTCGCAGCACAACACAAGCCAGCCACCAACCCACTCTCAGTCATTTACGCGCCCACTCACACGCCTCTCTCAGGTGAAGGTACTCCAATCGAAGACTAGTCAACTCATCCTGCAACCGACATATCGCATCCGCCTCCTCCAACAATGTCGACTTCGGTTCACACACATCCGCCATGTCAAGCCCCACACTCGCGTCACGTGCTGCAACACCAACAACCGTTCCATGGTTAATACTACCATCCACCACTCGCTCCTTATCCGCTTGATTGCTCACATGTTTCACGTACCTTGAGGACGGGGCCAAATCATGCACACCAACCAATGACACATCCGGTCTCGCATCCAAATCCGAACAAACACCACCAGGTAATCTCATCAATGTCGATGATGAACATGGGACCGACTCGCACACCACGCTCCTAGAAAGATACACCTCAGCCGACACTTATGCACGTTCTGTCGACGCTATGTCCACTCGCCTACTGGACCGAATCAATCCAACTACACCCCATGCACCATCACGAACACTAACCTCAATGCAAGACCGTAACTTCTCACACTCCGCTCAAGCAGCCGCAATCTCCACACGCAAACCCTCATTTCGCAATGGGAGTGCTGTTTCAAAATGATCATGGACCAAACATCTAGAATGATGTGCTTCTCGTGTAGACTTTTCGGTTTTGAATACGATAAAAGCGCTTTAAATCCTCTATCGAATGTCTGGTTATGCGAATGAGCATTGACTGAGATGGGACACAACGATTGCAAATGGGAGACCAACATACACCGTGGTAGCTTTCGCACATAAAGAGTGCATGCATTCAAGGTGGCACTTTCTGCAACTGAACCTTTCTCATCTTCACCCGATTTCTTAGGCTTCATAGGCTGTGAATTAAGCGATTGGGGTGACTGAACAGGTGATTGCTTGTCATCTTCACGGAGGCGCTTCACACCATTCTTGGTGTAATTCGGCGTCCGGTTGCCAGCCGGCTAGTGTGCATTCGCCGCTCCCTCAGAAGGAAGGTTATGTTCCAGACCGTGATGTTGATTTTCAATAAATGGGGTATACATAACCGCAGACCGTGCTTCCTTCATCATTTCCAAAGCAGATTTATCGTCGCAAGGATCAGTGAACAGCCGATCACGGTTATGAAAACAGACCGTCCTTCCCAGCAGTAAGCGACTATAACGCTCCACTTCCACTTCAGCCTACAACTGTTTTTTATTCCATTCTGCTAGTTTTACTGCAGTAATCGAGGCATCGGAGTTCATACTAACTCTGCTACGGCCCATAGTCCTGCTACTAACAGGCAAACTAGAGCAGAAATTAAGATCGTCTGACGCAAAAATGGGTTCAACTTGCTGAATCTCATCAAAATTTATAGCTTTCTTACGTGCTGACCTTGACGGCATTGTGCAAGCTCCGAATATAGAATAAGCAATCCCAGATTGTCAAGCATTGATACAGCTAAAGCGGCGATTGATTCAAGCAACACGCATGGCTCTCGGAGCAATTCAAAATTCAAGGCCAAAGTGCGCTATGGTGCTATTTTTACAAAGCGTTCGGACAACAAATTATACACTGACCTTCACAATGCCCACCACAAAAGGTACAATAGTTCGGTTCTCAACACCGGCTGTCCAAACAAGACCAAATGCCGACAACCATTAACTGAAGTCTAACAGGTTACACAACCGACTAAGCAATTCACTCAGATGAGATTTAAAGCAAAACGATCAATAGTCCGATCAATTAAGCCGTAAAAATGTCAGCTGCTGGGAGTCAGGGACAGTGAAACAAGGGGGTTAGGGATGGGACTTATGAAATGCTTCGCTAGAATCCGACAGACTGTGATTTGTCCGTTACAGGTTTCATTGAATAATTGATAGGCTGAACTCGTGCATTAAGCGGCTTCGAGCCCTGGTCGGCTTTTTGACACACGTCACAAGGCCGGACGCAAGCGTCCATCATTCTAGTCATCCTTGGCCGTCAAATTGCTCCTTCAGCCAACACCTCGTTCGCACGATACAGGTATGTCCATCGTGTGCTCCTTGGATGATTTTTGCTGGTAACTCCTGTGGAGACATGAATGATGGTCCTCGTCCAAGGCAATCACCAATGATCACGAATTGCTACGGTAATACATAAAATGCACGTTTTTCGCCGCTGATCTACGTGTATCAAGGACAGATTTCGATGTAGTAGGAGACGGTCTTACAATTTAGTCGTGTTTGTTGGTTTTTTGCAGTTCGGCTTTATCTATTGTTTCAAGGTCAGTTGACTTCAAAAAAGAAAGTATTACTTTTTCTTCGACTGGATGGTCCAATGAAAGACGGAATAAGATCTGCGATGTACTCCCCGGAGCTAACGCGGAATGTGATTTAGAAAATTACAATCCAGTGAACCGGCATACCAGCGATTGATCCGAAGTGGCATGTAACCGTTGGTTCCCCAACTAAGGAGGGTAGTAGCAGAGTGAGCCGTACACAATGGATACCGACCAAACAGGAAAATATGCCATTGTTCATAAGCCCACACACATGCGAGTTCTTCTCTTTCACCATTGGATAATAAAGCCACTGTAGGGGATTACTTTATGGAAACATACGCGATAGCTTTTTCAGTTCCGTTTTGCATCTGAGTCCGGACAGCTCCTAATCCATGTTTTGGCGCATCCGTCGAGACAAATGTCAGATAAGTTTAATCAAAAAGGGCTAGCAATGAGGTAGAGATCAGAAATCATTTCATTTCTCCAAAGGAGATTGCTCTGCAGAGCCCCAGTCGAAGGTGGCCTTCTCCTTGGTAAGTATGCTCAAGGGTTCCGCTGTGGTAGCAAAATCTGGTAGATAACGTAAGTTGTACGAGCACAGTCAAAGAAAGTGATTAAGTTCAGGCGCATTCAGGATGGGTGCGTTTGTGATTGCCCGACTTTTTGCGGCGCATTGTCGGATTCCCCCAGACAACACCCAATTTGCACTATTCAAGATTGAGCCGAAGAGATAAGCTCTCCAACCGGTGTAATACAGTGCATAATCTAGAATTGTGCTCTTCTCTAGAGGGATCAAAAACGCAAATATCGTCATGAAAACCATCTACCATAGTAGGTCTACCAGCGAGTTATTCCTGCCAAGCTGCCGGTGAGGATCAGAAGCGTGCTGGCAAAACTTTTTAGTGGAACGGAAAAGCCTCACCATTGCGGAGGTGTGATTGTAGGACTAGTAAATATTAGTCCGAGACGGTGCGCGAAATTAAACGCGGATATCAGAAGGCAGTTGGAGTCGGACATAGCGGACTGTATTCAATGGGTTACAAGAAGACGCGGACGGATGAAGCGAGACAGGAGCAACATGTTAGCGTGGGAACCTACAGAACGGTCAAGTGACGAGCCGGTTGTAAGAAAGATTAAAACAAGAAAGAATACGGTACATTTGGTCAAAAAGGAAATAGTCCATAAAGATAGCAGTTATCATTTTGGGCGCTACATGATCACATACATCAGCAAAAGTTGGTGTACATCGGTCTCACAGCTGTCCACCCACTGAACAACTCAATAAGTTCCCACCTATTAGAATTTAAACCAAAGTTCCTTAGTGGTTTTCTATCTTGTAGTTGGGAACGTTTATATAACACCTAACGCAGCACTGTCAGGTAAAAAATATTTGCAGATCACCTTGCCTCGGAATTTCAACCGAAGTGAGAATCTTCCCTCTGCACCATTGCTGGGGACTTCAATAGAAGTGACACAGACTTCATTAAACTGCTGGGTCTAACCAACTTGGTAGAATTCCCCACTAGGCTTGAGGTACTTTTAGATGTAGCTTTTACTAACAAACATAAACCTCTTTTCCACACTACATCATGAAGATATGCCCAGCGATTTACTGTAAGGGCAATGAAGTTGCGATGACAATAAGGCCATTCAGAACGGTTAGGCGGTGAAATTCTTCAGCAGAAAAGATTGGAAAGCGCAAGTCAACGCTCATTTCAACTGAATTCTCAGTCTTCACCATTGACGATCTGTCAGCTCAATGCGCGCACCTCACAGATTATATCAATTTCCGTTTCAATAATTATTGACCCATTGAGACCAGCTACCTTCGGATTGATAGATTTCCAAGAAACTGTGCACAAACAAAAGAAGAGCCTTACAAATACAGACTAACAGCCTAGGTCAAATGTCACTGTAGATGTAAAAGACGAGATAAAAAGGTTAAATAGTCTCTACATTGAAGCTGTTTTAGGAAACTTTAGTTGCCGTGACCTGTGGAGGTTCTTAATGCAGCTCATTGGAAAAGATACTAGTTGCCAATAGATACTATGGATGTGGGCAAGCTCAATGCAGATTTTAGCTTATGATCAGCACACTTTCTCCTTATCTTCCTTACCCATCAGTGACCCTCCCACCTTGTTTGACCATATCATCATTCACTAGGAACTAATAAAACTGGCGAAAACAAGATTAGTGGCTGTAAGACTGAGACCGTATTTAAGCGCAAGTAGAAAGGTTTCTGTGCAACTCTATTGAATTACGAAAAATCAAACATTTAGTTGTGAATCAACAGCAGTTGTGTTTGGTAAGTTAATCGTTTATCCTTGGTTGGTTAGGAATAGGTATTGGTGTCATTATTTCCTGGTATGCGATGTCTTCTTTTGGCATTGTATGTGCACCGTTTCACAAAAGCACAGGTTTCCGGAATAATCTTCGATAAGTGTTTTAAAAGACTTCACAGAATCGGCCTCTATTAATCCTTCTGGTAGTGTATTCCATAAGTTTACGATTCTTCGTTCTGTACAAAGCTGATGTGATACTTTGTTCATGCGTGGGACCCTAAGTTTGTACCGGTGTTCTGGGTTGTTACAGTGTTCTCGCAAGTGAAATATTGCCCGCAGTATGGGAAAGTGATTCAAGTGTAGTATTCGATAGGTCATAATAAGGTCAATTCTTACTTGGCGGTAGGATGGTGTGTAGAATCCGAGCCTTTCACAACGTTTTTCATATGGAAGCTTCCGTAGACTTGGCAGCATGCTGGTCGCGATATGTTGTATTTTCTCCAACTTTTCAGTTTCCCACTGGGTTATCGGATGATAAGTTAGGGCACCATATTTAAGGATTGGTCTAATAAGCGAGGTGAATAGACCAGGGACTGTTTCTTCGAACCATGTGGAGAAATTGCGTCTTAATGCCAGCAGCATACGAAGTCCCGCAAGTTGCAATTCCTCTGTATTTTCTAGTGATCTCATATCATGTCGAGAGAAAACTCTTAAGTCTCTGACTGATGTGTTAGGGTAGAGCAACTGTCCGTCCAACGTGTATGCTCGAGTGGTTCGACGTCTGGTGATACTGATGAACTCCGACTTGTTTGCGTTAAGAGGGAGTTACATTTCAGTGGACCAACTTGACAGTCGCTCTAAGCCATGCTGGAGGCGAGCACAGTCGTCCTGGTTATCAATGATCCTCCGGATTTTCAGATCATTTGCAAACAGGGCAGATGGTGACTGTAACTGCTGCGGGAGATCGTTGATATGAATAAGAAATAATACTGGCCCGAGTACAGTTCCTTGAGGCACACCACTGGTCGATGGGAACCAGTCTGACATGTAGTCACCTACTTGTACTCTAAACTTTCCTCCCACAATAAACTCGTTTAACCACTGAAGTAGTGTGCCACCGATTCCGTATGTCCTCAGTTTACGAAGGGGGTACCTCGGGGTTCAATGTGTCAAACGCCTTACTAAAGTCGATGTACACCACCTCAACATCCTTCTGTCCATGGATAGCTCATACCAACTGGTGCTTTGCGTACATCAAATTGGTGATGCAGGATCGCCCTTTGGTGAAGCCGTGTTGCGCTGGCGTCAATACGTCCATCGATTCGAAGAA